TTCAGAACTTGCGGGTGATCGACTTTTTGGCTTAAAGAAACTCAGGCAGGTAATGAGAGATGGGGAGATAAACAGCCAGGACCCGGGCCGGCAACTCATCCGCTTTTTCTGGGCGCTTAACGGAGATGGAGAAAGTCCGGCTCTGTTTGGATTGCTTGATTGCTCAGAGAGGAAAAAGAAAAGGGAAAAGGGAGGGAGGGAGGGGAAATAAAGGCCCTGAGTTGGGGTTTTTTCCCCCCCTTCTATTCATTAGGCTGTCAATAACGCTCAGGCCCCGGCACATCGACGGCGGATTAGCTCAACCCGACTCCTCGTACAAGAACCAATGGCTTTTTAACCCAGCTTGTTTCCAAATCAATACCCCCATCAGCATCCGAAAATTAGCCCGAGACGAGATTCCAATAGTGGGGCTGGTGTGTCATGCTAAGAGGGCTCCTGGCCAAATCACAAGAAGAAGGAGGAGGGGAAAAAAAAAAAAAAAAAGGTTGCTGGGAAGGAATTCGAAATTTTTCCATTAATCCTCCCCAAGTCTGTCTCCCTCAGAGCTCGGGGGGCTCCATATGTCCCACCACGCAGCCCGTGGCACGTCCTGGAGGATGGACACGGGTGATACCTTGCATGAACGTCCATCTGGTTGACCATCATGTGTGTCACGTCCCCTCCGAGAGCCCGGGTGTGCTTGGACGTGCTTGGAAGAGCACACGAACGCACCCCCATGGACTGAGCAACCTCAACGAGGCCACCACAAGTGCTCCACCACCCCGTGCCGGCCTTCCTCTGCCTCCTCCTCCTCGAGTTTCAACACACAAACACATATTGTTGCTAGGCATACACACACCCCCGCAAAGTACACAAATCTGCCAAGCTCTCTCTTTTCCCCCAACGCAAGTTTTACTTCAAGCGTTGCCTCCAGCACGGAAAACAAGAAAACCCATCAAAACACAACAACAACAAACAGCAACACGGGGTTTGCTACTCGGGAGGCTGAGCTGCCTGTACCAGAGCCCCAGGACTACTCCAGGAAAGTTGGATGAATGCTTTTCCCAGCTTCTCTGGGACTCTCCAAGCCCCGTTGATCATCCTCAACGTTGGCACGGAGTTGTCTAACACGCTCAACGCAGCAGCAGTGGGAGGAGAAGACACCAGGGCAAAAAGGGTGGAAGAGAAATCAAAGCACCAAGAGCTTCACGACCCCCCCTCTACGAATTCCCCTTCTTCTTACCTTGCACGATGAGGTGGACGCGCGACGTCTTGGGGTGATTGTCTGTCTGCACGGAGCAGGTGTAGGGCCCCTCATCGTAGACGTCCACGTCTTGGATCTGGATGCTGTACTGGGTTTTGGTGTTGGCCAAGAGCACCACCCGAGGGTCCAAGCACCACTTGTCGTTGCCGGCATAGAGGATGCTGCTGCGGTTCAGCCAGGCCACTCGGGTGACTCGGTTATCCACGGAGCACCTGGGGACAAGCAGAGAGGTGACCCATCAGTGCACTGCTCTTGGGCGTTCTTCTCCCCCTCCTGGTCCTCCTGGCACTATTTTTAGCTTTGCTGCCAGCAGCAGTTTCTGAGACCAAGTGCTTTCGGTGTCCAAAGAGGACAATGTCAGCACTTTACGCGCAGCACTCAGGGCACCAACATCCTTCTAAACCAGGGATTTGCCCAAGAGCTTCACAACCACTCCAGATGTAGAGAGGTCAGAGCCACCCCAGCCCCAGCCACCAAAGGACCTTCCACCCCTCCGTCCCCAGTTTTGCAAACCCAGAGAGAAGCAGAACCATAAAAAACTCCACCCCGAGTCCAAACCACACTTTTGGGGGGGTTGGGGGAGACGGGATGCAGGTTTCTACCTCCTGCCCGAACCCATCCATCCCTTCTCCTTCTCTCCTCAGACCTTCAGATCCCTGGAGCCAGGCAAAGAAATGCAAAGCTCTGCTTCACAAGGAGCTGGGGAAAATTTATCTCCGGAGAAAGCCGGCTCTGACGCACCTCTAAGGAGAAACCTTGAGCTTCCCACCATTCATCCCCTTCTGCCAGCTCTTCCTCCCCTCCCCAGCATCCTCATCGCTGCGTCGCCCTCACCCCCGTGAAGCATCTCCCTTCCCGAGTGAGGTTTTGGAGGCAGAAAGCTTCTACA